CCCCGTGGATTGCTTCTGCCAAGCTTGTGTACCTGCTGGCTCAGCGCTGTCCCCCGGGCGTGCCCAGCTCTGTTTTGGACCCCAAACGGGGATTTCTGTGGGACTTAGGGTTCTTGCCCCCCATTGGGATGACCCAGTAAAAGATATTTTCCTAGCGGCTCTGCGGAGTTTGGATTGCGAAGGGGAAAGGGCCTCCTGGATAGGTCACTGGGCCGCGGGGCGTGACAACCGCGAGAGGTGGAGCAAAATGGAGTCTTCTGGGAGGACAGGGCCGAGCCTGGCAGAGCCTGAGGCCCTACATGGCCTCTCCAGGGGAGTTCAGGTGCTCCATGCTCACGGACATGTGGAAGCAGGAGCTTGGGGCCCAGGCCCAGACAGCCCAACGACAGAAGCCTCTCTAAAGCCACGCAGCCCTCGGGGGCTCCCGTTGTTCTGACTCCCACCCCCATTGCCCAGGCCCTAGGTGTCCCAGCAGGCACTGGCAGAAGAGAAAGGAAACCCCACCGACCTTCCTGCCTCCTCCTCTTGCCCCAGCTGTGCCCTGCAGCAAGCACTCTGGGAACGAGCAGAGGACAGCGTTCTGGACTTCTCCCGCCCCTGGCCTCCGGCTGTGTCGTGCCAGGAACTAGCCAAGGGGACGTCCCGGCTCAGAATGAATGTCCAGTGGTCGGGGGGGCAGTTTATATCTGTCGTGCTGTTGTTTGATGTACACACACATGTTCTATTTACTACCAAATAAAAGAAATACATCTGTGTTGCCAACAGAAACAGCTCGGGCGCTGGCTCCACGGTCTCCCAGGGCCCAGAGGCGCTGGTGGGTGCTCAGAGCTGCAGAGCCTTCACTGTGGGGACCTCGGCTCCCCGTGAGGCCCTGGCCCATGGGAATATGGCGGTCCCTGGTAGGGTGCTGGCAGGCTCTGCTAGTTTGTCCCGGGTGGCTTGTGAGGAGGAAGGACAAGGCCTCCGGGGCGGAAGGGCTTCAGGCTCGGAGCAGCAGGGGCAGGAGCGCCACCTTGCTCCTTGCCCCGTCTTTCCCATAAGATTTCCCCCGCTGCCTCAGAGTAGTAACCACCGACAAGGTGCGCCTGACGCTGCGAGCCTGACGGGGGCGTTCATGATGGTTGTGATGCTAAACACACGTGGGTGGGCACCGGGAACCCCTTCGTATGGTATCTTTAGGAGGGTCTAACTAAATGTGTGTGTGTTATGGTGAGTGTATCCTACATGTTGTTTGTGTGTGTCTTGTTTGAGCGACGCAGAAAGGATTTAGCCTGGAAGCCGATGTCATTTGCATTGACTTGAGGATTAACTGGGGGTGCGGAGAGGAGAGGGACGGACCTGAAGTTAGGAGGAGAAGAGGCTGGGGTTCACATCTGAAGGGAGGGAAGATGAAAAGACAGAATCGGGAATGTCGGTTCAGGGTCCTAAGGTCAGGGACACTGACTGCCCTGGTTACCCACGATGGGGCGTGTCGTAGGAATTGGGTGAGGCACCCTCACTCCCCAGGCACCCCCCTCCAGTGAGTGACTTCAGCAGCTCCTGGCTAAGCCCGTGCAGAGGCCGCCGGGAGGAAGTGTCCTGTGTGGGGGAAGATGACCCTCGCCAGCTACCCAGGTGTGACAGTTCCACCAACCGCTTTCTTGGCCTCTCCTGCCTGGAAGGCCTCAGAAGGACCTGCAGCCGAGCCTGGGAAGCTTCCTGCGTGGGGTGGCTTGGGTGCCCTGCCGACCGCACCCTGGCTCGGCCCCTTCCTCCTGCACTGTGAGTAGTGCCACAGCCCCGCCTGACAGGAGGGGAACAAACACCTACTGCTTGGACTGCCTGCTAGGCTCAGGTGCCACCAGCCCCGGGCAGTGCGGGCGCCGCCACCCTCCCTCAGGGTGCAGCGCCTGTGGCCCCCGGGAGAAGAGCGCAGGCCAGGGCAGCAGGGCGCCTGCTGAGGAGGGAGAGGGAGGCCTCAGGGAGCAGGACAAAGGATAAACGGCGCGAGTGCAGAACCAGTTATTTCTCGACTTTGTAAAGACTGGGTCAGTCAAGAACCGTTTTCTAGATTCCAAACACAAATAAAGTATTTTTCTTGGCGTCTGATAACATTGTGTTCTGGCTGTAAAATCTAAGGATGTGTTTGCTATTGCAACATTATTTTTAATGAGCTGTTATTGGCCTGTCCCGCAGTCAGTATTGCCAACAGTAAAAGGCATCACTATGTTTGCAGGTAACACAAGGAACAACATATTTTGACCCCGAATTTCTGTTTATTTTTCATTTATGACACATGCCCTCGTTTTTATTCCAAACCAGAGGGAAATAAAGAGAGATCTATCTTCACTGAGGTCCAGGCTAAAATTTTGCCATAAATACTCATGCTAGTTTATTTAGGGCAGTTTCCCCATCAATAGGAAACAATACTGGACATTTCAGCTATAGTAGAATCAATTGTGTCGATTGGGTTTGAAGAACCTCGCAAAGCCCTGGGAGAGGGACTGGGAGCCGGTGCAGGCGCTCCCCAGCGGACGCGCCCTGCCTGGCGCTCTGACCAATCCTTGCCCTCTCCGGGCTCCTCGTCTCCCCCTTCGTTTCCCCAGCTCCAAACGCATCCTGCCAGGCGTTGGGCAGGCGGACCCTGTGCCCTCAGGCGGGGGGCCGGGGCGCTGGCGAGGGGCGCCCGAGCACCGGCTTCAGCCAGGCAGACCCGTGCTTCCCAGCAGCTCCCCGCGCGCAGCACCTCGGCAGGCCGCCCGCCACGAGCCCGGTGGCCCGGCACCCAGCAGGCGCGTGGGAACAGTTAGCGGTGCGCTTCCGGGCGGTGGCGGGGACGGGAACCGGGACGGGGACCTAGAGAGGCCGCCCGTGCGGTGTTGGGCGCCGGTGCGCAGAACAGGGCCCGGCCGGGAGCAGAAAAGGTCTTTCGGTTGCCGCTGCCTCAGTCGGAAGGTCTGTTCCCTGGCACTGGACACGCCAGGGCCGCGCCCGCGCCGCCCGGAGGCTGCCGTTCCTCGAGGACCAAGGAGGCTGCCCTGTCCATAGAGCTGCTTGGCCTCCGCCGACTGCCCTCTCGCGGCTCGGCCTCTCCCAGCCGGACTTCGCGATCCGCCCGTGGCCCCAGCTGAGGTCTAAGTTCACTCCCCCCTCCACGCCCCCTGCCGCCCCCCGGGAGCCCCGCATGCCCCGGGCCGCTGCTCAGAGCCCGCGGACGCCCTGCCCTGAAGCTCGCGGCTTCCGAGGAACCGAGTCCCGGGAGCAGAACGCCGCGCTGCGGCCCCGCGGTGGGAAGCGCCGGCCGTGCCAGCGCTCGGCCGCCGCTCCGCTCAGCTTCGCCACCTCGATAAGCCCGGGTTCTCGCCCCTTCGCCCCTCCTTCTTCCCCACTCGCAGGGTGCTTCAGGCCGCCTAAGGTACCGGGGAGAGCACGGCCGCGGACAAAGCCGCCTTTGTCTCCGCCGCCTTCTGGATCCGGAGGCCGCACGTCCCGGGCGGACTCGGCGAGCGCGGAGGCGGCGGCGCGCCGGGCAACAGCGAGTTTCCGAGACGCCTGCCCAGGGAAACCCTTCAAGTTACACACGCTGGCAACACGACACGCTTCTTTTTCTTTTTTTAATTAGTTCAGGTTCACCACAACATTAAGTGTAACAATATTTTGTTTCTTTTTTCTCTTTTTCTTAAAAAGGGACTGAACCCGGGCAGAGGTGAAGAGTTGAGGGGAGCGGGGGCAAACTATCCCAGAACAACAGGTGTAGCTGACAGGGCAAAAAAAAAACCAACAAAAAACAAAAAACAAAACAAAAAAACCACCCCCCGATGGGGTGACAGAGGAAGAAGCCCTGCGGAGCTGAGGGCAAACTTTACAAGAAATCTGTACATTTATCAAATAAGTTAAAATTCTCCTAAATTGATTGTCCTTCACTTAAAGCGCTCCAGTATCCTATCTTACTCCTTTGAGCATTGCTACCTGTCCTTGTCTCCTTCCTTCCCCCCTTTCACCTTCTTAATTTTCTCCTAAACGAATGACCGGAATTACACAGTGGGAATGTCTGCCTTTCTCCGGGGAGGGAGAGCAGGGCTCTCAGGAAATTTTGTACAATATTGCACAGGTCAGAGGTACAACTGTTACTGCAGAACAAAAAGGTACAGGGCCAGGAAAAGAGGGTTTTTTCTAAATATTGAAATTACTCTCTCAAGGCAGAGGGCAATGTAATCATAATAATATTAATAATAATTTACCGATGAAGGAAATCCCAAAAATAAATGTCACTAATAAATAAGACCACTGACACCGGGCCAAAGGTGGAGCTGCTTCAATAATCAGAAGTCTGGTTTTTGGCTGTCTTGTCTTTTCCCTTTAAACAATTAGAGAATTCTTCAGCCGCAAAGCAGAACAGAGGAAGAGGTCAATACCAACAGACCTCTGCCGAGAGAAACGCGGCCTGAGTCGGAGGTGCCTACAAGAGGCTGCTCAGGTTTTGAAAATCGGAGTGGATAACCGATTCGGGGTGGAGAGGAAGAACCACACCCAGGGATCTGGAAATAAATGTACTACAATGTAAATTCATTCTCTCTCTCTCTCCCCCGCCCCTTCTGAAAATAGTTCTATAGGAACTGAATAAACTAGAGGGGTTCAGGTTTTTGAGCTTATTTTCCTTCTATAAAAATAAAACCAAAAAGCCACAGCGTAATGCACACTGGGGGAGAGGGTTGCTCCTATTCCAAAAGCTTTCGGTCGAAATAATCGACCCTGGAATTGAATCATTTTTCCTGCTCTCTTAATATTAACCAAAACTAAAAGTAAGAGGGGAAGCGCCTCAAATCCAAAGGGGTGAATTGCACGAAAATGCATTGCAATACTTACAAAACGCTACCAATTGGGGGAGGGGAGGCCGGGGCAGCGCACGGACGCCCCGGTTCCCGAAGGCCGCTGGACGTCTCGGCGCCCTCGGCCCGGCCCAGTCTCCTCCGGGGTCTAGGAAGGGGGCCGGGCACTCCCTCCTCCTCCCCTCTCGGGCCTCAGACGGGCCGTAGCAGCGGCACGGACGAGACCACCGGGTGCGAGTAGTAGACCGGGTGCGGGAAAGTGAGCAGCGGCTGGCTGACGGGCACCGGGGCCCCCGCGGCCGCGGCGGCCGCACCCTCAGCCGCCGAGTTCTCGTGGTAGAGGATGGGCACCCGCACAATGCGCTGCGCCGCCGCGTGGCTCAGGTTGGCCGCCTCCAGCTCGGCCGCCAGCTGCCGCTTCCACTTGTTGCGGCGGTTCTGGAACCAGATCTTGACCTGCGTCTCCGTGAGGTGCAGCGAGGCGGCCAGGCCCGCGCGCTCCGAGCTGCTCAGGTAGCGCTTCATGTCGAAGGTGGACTCCAGCTGGAAGACCTGGCTCCGCGAGAAGACCGTGCGCGTCTTCTTCTTGCGACAGGCAGGCTTCTTCTCAGGGCTCTCGGCGCCCTTCTTCCAGTCCTCGGCGCCCGCCGCCGCCGCCGCCGCCGCTCCTACGCCCGCCCCGGCCGGGCCAGGCGCCGCCTCGCCCTCCTTCTTGCCTTCCTCCGAGTCGCTCTCCTCTAGAATGATCTCGTCGGGGCTCTTGGAGTCCAGCTCCTTGTGATCGGGGTCGGCCTTGAGCAATGGCTCGGGGGAGTCGCGGTCAGTGCCGGAGGCGGGGGAGGAGTCTCGCAGGAGGGTCTTCTCCGGTGCTGCGGAGAGACAGACAGACGGATGCACGCACACGCACACCAACACAGCGGTCAGCAAGGCCCGCGCCTGGGGGCCGCCGGCTCAACCAGCGCCCCCTCTGGATCCCAAGCCTCAAGGCTCCACCGTTCCCGTCGGCCTTCTCCTGCCTGGCTGAGCCAGAATAAGGGGCGCGCGCCTGGGATTCCCCTCCTCCCGAGGATAGGCGACAGTGTCCCCTGTATTGTGGCAGAGTGACCGCTTCCTTCCCCAGCATCCCCACCAGGGGCCCACGAAGAGATTCACCCCTGTCTTGGGACTGCCTGAGTCACCCCCTCAGTCCAGGCCAAGTCCCCAGTCCCAACCTCCAGAAGCCTCTCCATTCATGCCCGAGGCCACTTTCCCCGGGAAGTGCCGCGCTCCGGGCTCCAACGCCACTTTTCTCACCAAGTGGGATTGGATTCCCAGGCAGGGCAACCGAGTGTGCGGCTGGGAGACTGCAACCCAGGGACCGGAGGAAGTTTTGACCAAACAGAGGGGTGGAGGGTATGGGGGTCCCAGGGCTGCGGTGGGACTCGGCGCGGGGCAGGGATGGGACAGGCGTGCAGGGAAGACAACGAAAGTTCAAAGAGTGGTCGGTACCTTCAGGTCGCGGGAGGTGGCCACCGGCGGGGGTCAGGGTGTAGGGGTACCACCAGGCCGGGGAGCGCTCCAGGTAGTGCGCGGGCAGGGCAAACCTCTGCGCCGGGATCTCAAAGCGGGGGAAAGCCAAGTCGCCCACCTGCGAGAGCGCGAAGCCTGCGGCGCCCTCCAGGGCCCCTTTGGCCGCAGCGGCGGCGGCGGCGGCAGCGGCGGCGGCCGAGGCCGGAGCGAAGAGCGTCCGTGGGGGTGGCTGCGGCTTAGGGGGCGGCCGGTGGTGGTCTCCGTTGAGCAGGTTCTTGATGGAGAACGGGGACTCCTTGGGCGCGGGAGGCGGGGGCGGCGGCGGCGGGGGCTGCGCACTAGCCGTGCCGGGGGCGTCCGGCCCGGGCTCTGGCATGGTCCCCTCTCCTCCGGGTCCCCGCGAGGGAGGGAGAAGGACAGGCGGGCGGCCGGGCGGGCAGGTGGGCAGCCGGAAATCAGACCATAAACGGAACTCAACTGCGGGGCGCAAAGCCGAGGGCCGCCCCGGGCGCAAATCCAGCGGCGCGAGGGCGGGGTGAAGACCCGGTCGGGAGGGCTCGCATGGGGAGGGGTGCTGAGGGGCGGGGAGCGGCCCTGTCGCGGCACCGAGGGAGCGAGGCGGCTCGGCGGCGGCTACAGCTCCCGGGGAGGAGGCGGCAAGAGCAGTCCCCGGCTCGGGGCTGCGTCAATCCGGCGCCGGATGCTAATGATGAAATCAAAATGTCATCCAAGTTAAATGCAGGGAGTATACGGCGATTGGGCGCGTACAATGGCAAATGGGATTAGGCAGGCGAAGGCACAGCCGAGCCCGGGCCCCGCAGCCGCCTCCGCCACCGCCCCCTCCTTGCCTTTCCTAGGATTTTGGCGCTTTGGCTTCGGGCTATAAGAGCCCGCCTGTTATTGGCTTTATATAGTCCAATTAGGCAGCAAATGAGGACAAGCCTATTAGCACAAAAGGATATTGGCTCCCGCTAAAGAGGCACTCGGAGTGCTCCGGCGAGAGCAGGAGGCGAGCGAGGGACTCGAAGCCGGCGGCGCCCCCGGCCCGGAGCGCACTGACAGCTGAGAGGCCGGGAGCCTGTGCCTGTCTCCCACTCTACACCCCCTACGCCCCCCCCCCACCGGCCCCGCGGCTCGGGGACAGCTTCCAGCCGCCAGGCTTGCGGGAGGGGGAAGGGGCGGGCCAGGCCCGCTCGGGTCACCTCGGGGTTATCCACGTTCGCAGCTGCCTCTCCCCCGCCCCCAGGGGTTTGGCAGGGGCATTCGCCCCCACACAGCTGGAGAGCTATGCAGCACTGGTCCAGAAGTCAGGACGTGACCTTTGGTCCCCGGCGGACTCAGCACTTTCCTACCCCTCTGGGGTCTGGCGGTCTCGGCATTTCCCCCAATTCCTGCTAAGGGTGCAGCAACCGAGAAGATTTGGGTTCCCAGCCCACGACAGGAAGGGAATCGAGGTGTAAGTCCTTGCACAGCGGCAGCCGGCACAGGAATCCTTGTGTCCTTGGCCTTTGGCCCTGGGAAATCGAAGAGGGAGACTTTCCCTTGTAGCAGGAGTGGGTGCGCGGCTCTGCACACCCGAGTGTGCGCCGCAGAACGGGCTGACTCCCGCGCGTCACTTAGTGGGGCCGCGGCGTCCGGGCACCGAAGGCTACACTCGGAAGGGCGCTCCTCTCCTCTGGCCAGAACCAGAACCCAGAGGCTCCGGAAACAGTACTTTCTCCCTGTCTGTCGCTCCGAAGTTGGGAGCTGCCTAACGCTTTAATAGGAGCCGTGCGAACCGAAGACAAAACGGCTTACCTTCCCCGGCTGCAGCTGTGTCGCCGGCACCTGCGGTACGTCCGACGGCGTCCCAGTCCCTAGAGAACCCTGCTGGACCTCTGAGGGACAGCTAGGCGGACATGCAGTCTACTCCTTCGGCTTTAAAAACGACTCCCCAGGTTGCACAACACTTCTGTAAGGCAGGCATGTAAGACTCTAGATTCAACCGTCAAATAATCAGAATTGCTTGTGGGGTCCCTTCCCTAGAAACAGCTCCCTAGTCAGAGAAAGGTGGCAAACTGGCCATCACTCCTCACCACCCGTCGTCAGCTTCCCTACTCCCGGGGTCTTTCTGTGGCCCCTTTGCTTCCCCATCGCCTTCTTTTTCGTTAGATCGAGCCCGCACCTAACTCAAGGCCGCCCTGCATTGGCAGATGCGACCCCTCTGGTCCCCCAGCTGGGAGCTAGGAATGTTTTATTTTCTGGTTCGGGGCTTCAGAGTTTCCCTACCAAATCTCGGTGGGCGCATTTAATGCTTCTCTCAGCCAACATTCATCTACAGTAGTGAACCCTATTTTTGCTTTGGGAACCTGGAAACGTTGTAAATGGTGCTTCCATAAACAATTATTATTATTCTCATTATTATTACTCTCTTGAGTTTGTACAGGGCTTTACTGGAAAGCAAAACGCGGTGCAGTGATCTGAGTTGGAACCAATCACAGCCGGGAGGCTCCAGCAGGGTGGGTCTCATGCTCGGGTTTTATAGACAGCAACCGGCTCCTGGAGAGGAAGGGACCGGGCCGAGGTCACCCAGTTGGTACTGGACAGCCGGAAGTCATTTTCTCCCTAACTGCAGAAATAGCTCGATGCGCGCAGGTGGCCGCAGGTTGGGCAGGCACGGCCCGCACCCGCCAGCCACGCGGCCGAGGGTGTGGCGGAGAGGCCCCTGTAAAAGTGCGCGCCTGTTGTCTGAGGGGGACGCACGCAAAACTTTCCGAAGTTCTGGCGCAGAGAAGCCACCTTTAAACTGAGACAAGCAGAAAAGCTCCTCTCCCGGGTTAAGGCAGAGCCTGGCAGATGTTCCGTTTGCAGAAGTGGGCTCTTGGCTATTGAAAACGTGAATCTCGGGGACTGGAAGGGGTCCAGGCTGGCGGGAGACGAGTCCGGGACAGCTGTTCGCGAACCCTGCGGCTCCACTACCGGAGCCTCGCTCTCTCGTCTTCCCAAGTTCTCCCAGTGTCGCCCCGCGGGGCGCGTACGTGCGCTTGTGTGTGTGTGTGTGGGGGGGGTGTCTGTATGCGCGCCCGCGCCTGTTTTGAGTAGGGGGAAGAGTTGTTCGGGTGTCACCACCCACGACTTAATCCCGCCAAGTTTCAGGGATGTTGGGCTTGAACAGCCAGGTGCACGGAGTAAATCTTTCGTTCTCCTCCGCTTGGAGAAAGTTTGCAGGTATGGGGCCCCGGGCACGGACGCCGCCGTCCACTCGCCCTCTGGCGAAGGGTGCCGCTTCTGCTTACTCACGCCCGCTCCATTCAAAGTCAGGCGAACAGCGCCCTCTAAGGGACGCCCTCTAAACCAAACCTGCCGGCTCGGCCGGAGGAACCTCAGCCTCCGCGCAAAGGAAAGCGTTAAAAAGCCGTCGCTGTCTTACCCTTCCGGACCCTGCCTGGAGAACAAAAGCATTTTCCTCCCCTCCGGATTCTGGAAGAAGCCGAGAGTGAAACCGCCCGCAGATCTCTGCGGATCTTTACCTGGTGACCACAGAAAGTGGTTTCGCCTGCTTTCTTGATCCTGTTTTACGGCCTATTTAATGTTCCCTCTGGTAACTGGTTCCGAGGTGCCCGTCCTGGCAGCAGGCTAGATGTGGGTTCCTTGGCAGGTGGTGGGCCGCGGGGCTCTCTAACTTCCTTCCGGGACTCGGGGCACAGCCAGCCAAGCAGGGCTGCTCAGTAGCCGCTTGTGTTAGCGCCTGAGTGAGTGAGTAAATGACCGACTTCACAGCTCCTGCTGCAGGGCATTTGCCTAGCTGATTAGGGCCCTTCACACACCCTGATCACACCTAAACGCAGTTGTTAAAAAGTTCGAGAACTTGAGGTTTTTCGATGACAGATTCTACCAAGCCAAACGGAGCCCCAGTGACTGGACCACACGAAGCTGACCCAAGGCCGTGGGCGGTCCCACCGTGTCTGCACCACTCCCTAGTAGGACAAGAAGCCCCGAGGGAAGAGGGGCCCCGAGAGCACCCAGCTTTTACACAAGAGAACGAGGTCCGGTGCAGGAGCGCGGAGAATGGCTCTCTCACCTGCCTCCCGCCCCGCCCCTCATGACCAGCACAGCCCCAGAACACAGACGCATGTACACGTACATACCAGCCAGTCAGTAGTGAGCCCCCAGGGGAGAGGAGCAGTTCGGTATCCTCTAAAACTTCCTCTGCTTCCTTGCATCGGGTCCTTCTTGGAATCGCTTCCTGGGATGGCCCAAGGGCTCACCCAAGGAGAGGAGGGATTGAGGAGGACTTGGGTCAAGGCTGCCAGGCTCCCCACTTTAACCCAGCCAAAGTTAGCACTGGCCCTGATGGCCACCTCTGAACCCCTAATTCCCCTGACCTGCAGGTGCTTTGTTTGTAGGCGGGATGGAGAAAGCCTGGGGAGTGATCCTGGGGAAGCCGCGCCCTGGGCTGCCTGTGCTCTGGCCCTCTGTCTGGAAACATCCTCTTACCTCTGTCCCATGGCTCCCAAGAGGGCTGCCCAAGACCCCTCCCTCCCTGTGGCTGATGACCGTGACTTAGAAAGCGCACAGACCATGGAGATGGGTCCTTGTCACGCTGTCCTTCACATAGGCATCCTGAGTCACATACAATGTCCTGAAGGTGGCTGAACATCTAGCCCTTTCCTGAGAGTAGAGAATCATATAGAGAGGTGATGTTAGGTAACAGCCATCGAGTCCTCATTAGATACCAGGCACTACAACCCAGTGAGGCAGGCACTGTTATTTCTATTTGACAGATGAGCTGACTGAGGCAGCAGAGAGTGTGACAAAGGGGAAAGAGTCCTAGACACATGTAGCCTCAGAGGGCCGTTACAAGCCCAGCGGGTAGGCGCGTAGTAAGCACTATGTCAGTGCCGGCTCCCGTTGCTGCTGTTCCTCAGCCACGGGTCGGGATGAGCCCAGCATTGCAGGGCCTCCTGAGGAAGCTGGCGCCCCTTATGAGGGAGGACGCCCGGACTTGCTCTGGCGTCTCCGGGAGGACTTGCTCTGTGATCAAGGCGAGAGCTGCCTCTCCCACACTCCTCCAGCTTCTTGTCCGCTGAAGAAAGACTGTCCCCTAAACCAAGGGTCTCTCACGTGGAGTTATTCGCAGATCGCTGTCCATCTTCAGAGCTCTCATTAGGGGAGAAACAAGCACAGGTTTGGCCTTTCGTCCTGTCAAATCCTCCAGTTTACAAGGGTTTGGATAGTGTGTGGGCTCCGGCTGGTAATTTCCCATGACCTTGGATAAGACACTGAATGTCTCTGCACGCCGGCCTCCTCATCTGAAAGACATGGGGGGAATCAAGGTGACTCCGTGATGAAAGTAAAGAAGGGGCACCCTTCTTCCTGCCTTGTCCAAGGTCCCTG